TAAAGGAATAAACAAAACAGCGATTAAGCTGAAACAAAAACAAAATAAGAGAAACAACACAAGAAACCTTCTTGATGTTCGCGCCTCCACGCCCGATGAGGAATCGATGAAATTCTGGTTTTGCCTTAACCGCATCCTCAAAACTGGACAGCTCACGATCCTTAGCAAGAGCCAGCAACAACTTCTCCGCTTTAGCTACATCCTCTTTTGGGCCACGTATCGTCACCTGTATTATTTGCGAACTACAATCAATGATTATCACGTAATACTTTCATCAAGGTTAATGTTTTAATACTCATCAATATTCTCATCGCCCTACCACCCACCACACTCTACTACAAACAACAACCTTGTCCGATGAACTCTTCTCGGGTGGGAATTTGATGTGAACACCTCCGCATTCATCTTGTATATCGTGGATCAGTCGGCCACCACCGCCCAACAGTCGTGAATGCACTTTAGCGGGAATATTCACTTCAGAAACCACTATGCTTGCCTGAATTCAGTGAAATACAACAATAAAAAGGCATCGTGCCAGCATTCAACATAAACAAACAAATGAATGTCCTATAAACACTAAATCGAATAATCGTTCAACCAAAAAATAAAAACGAACCAATTCGTTTTGAATCTGTGTCAGCTGTTCCACCGCTTTTTCCACATTCGCCTTCTTACCAGTGACGGTTATCTTGTCCTCGCCACTCTCTCCACCAGGTAAATCGATTCGTGTTTGCGTATCTTCACGAATCTTTCGCACATTTACGCCACCTTTTCCAATTATATGCTTATGGAATTCTTTGAATATTGGCACTGTCACTTGATAGTTGTTTTCCAACTGAAACATCACAAGCACTCACTATTATTAATAATACTTGAAAATAAAATTCAGTGCAACCATTATATGCATACAAATGCTCACAGATAATAACGATGATAAGAACAATAATGATAATAAAAAGCAATTAACTGCAATGAGTATTGCAACGTATTCTGTCAAAGCCAAACATGAACAATCAATGACGAAATTTCCTTCTACCTGATCATACGGCAACAAATACAATTCATCAAGCGAACACAAACCAATTCTTTGTTGAGTGCAGTCAACTGCTTAAAAACTTTATCCACTTCGTTCTTGTCACCACGCAGATTCACGATATCCGATTTCTTGCTGGCATCCGGGAATGAGAACACCACCGATGGGTACTGCTCACGTAGTTTGCCGATCGCTTCACCTTTGGCGCCAATGATTTGTTTGTGAAAACGTTGCTCAATCAATATATCACGCGATTTCTCGTTCTCCTTCAAATTTCAACGACTCGTTCCTTTCTTTTTTCTCTCTTTCATTCTTCGCTCCTTGTTTCTCAGTTCATTTAATTATTGCCCATATTAAATATAAAAACCCAACCATTATCAATGCTCTCATGAAACTGACTGTCACAGATTGGAAAAATATTTTCACAGCGTTGATCATATGAAAAGTATTCTTGCGATCACTTCAGACTGCGTGAAATCATCAGAGCAAAACTCACAATACGTTTAACAATTTCGCTGATTTCTTCAATCGCCTTCTTCACACCCTCTTTGTTGCCTTCCACTTTGATTTCATCCGAGTTGGTTTGTTCGTTTGGAATTGTGATCTGTACGCCAGTTTCGTCCTTGATTTTCGAAACTGAATTGACGAACAACAATGAGAGAATTCCGAGTCATCAAAACTTTGCGGGAGATTACACAAGTTTGACGTCTTTTGCACTGATTATGGTTGAATGCTTCAAGAAAAATTTAGGACTATGATAAAAAGCCTTTGACGTCTTTGCTGCAAGTTTAAGATCTTTTGCTACTATCACTATCGAAATGTAGGATTATGATAAAGCCTTTTTCCATACCAGTCCAGACACTTACCGGTCATTAAGCCAATGAAATGCTGACAAAAAGAGTTAAGTAATTTGCAATGGCAGATGCACAAATGAAATGAAGATGAACAAAAGGCAACGCTAAATAATCACAAAGGAATAAACAAATACATTTATGCTAAAAACTCACTCAGTGCACCACCTCGTCCAATCACGTGTCTATGCAACGATGGATGCACTTTGATGGTTTCTGAGGACATCTCACGAGTTAAGCGATCAATTTCTGCGCTCAACGATGCTTGTGCTGATTTGACGTCTTCCGGAGGACCTTCCAAATAGATCGCCCCGCCATCTTCGAAATCAATTTGCACTTTATCTTTGTTTGGCACAAGTGTCTAAACATAAGATATGTATAATGACCCACTAAAGCAAATCATAAAAGGACGATAATGCTGGAAAAAACGATGATGATAACCATTATAAAATCAACCTCGACACTCAATGATGTATTTCCTCAAACAATCATTCATCAATATTTACATACAGACAAGATGTATTTTCGTGATGAATCAATAAGTAGAATTGCGTTTGCTTGATGAAATGAAAAGATGACAACCTGAAGAGTCGAACCCTTCGGTCCAATTAAGAATTTATGCATCCAATGTTGACAAACGAGTTCGGATGTGATTACACTACTTGCTTTCGCGTAAACCATCGCTAGCGCTTCACCCAACTTCGCTGGATTACCACGAAGTGTTATCGTATCCGAATCCTCCTCTTCAGTTGGCACTTCAACGCTAACACCCGTCTCTTTCAGAATTTCCGATAGACCACGACGTTGCGCACCAATCACATAACGATGCTGGGCACGAGCCACCTTTATGATCAATTTATTCTATTACTTCTGTTATTATTATTGTTTATTATCACTATTATTAATCACTATCAATAGTATATTATTAATATCAGCACTGCTGTTAATACTACTATCATCAGAACGTAGACCTATATAAAACAGCATATGTCATCTACCTGACACGTCACAGACTTTGCATTTGCCTTTTGATCTTCATAGATTTTCATCAATGCCTCTTTGGCATGATGCACGCCATCCTTTTCACCAGTGATCACGATTACTTCATTATTCGCTGACGGTGGCGGTATATTGATCTTGGCACCTGTTTCGGCCATTAGACTGTCCATTGTTTCATTGTTTGGTCCTCGAATCCACGGATAGTAAATACGAGGTATCATCAAATGTTCCTGTGCTAGCTTCGACTGAAAGCATTCAATTCAACATATCCTTTTCATCATCTAATCATTTTTCACATAAGTCCATAAAATCAATGTTCTACTAAAACAACTGCCAACCTGTTTATCGCTAGCCAGTTGTATTTCGTGAACGGCTTTTTCAATGCCTTCCCGAGGGCCAATAATTTTGATGATATCACTTGCTGAGTCACGTCCCGGCACCACAATACGACAATCAGTCTCTTGCTCAAGTTGTCTCAACTTTATGCCTTCTTTACCTGAACAAACAAACCAAATCAAGTAAATCATTCCAGTACCATTAATATACTGCACGTCAAAAGATTATTGTACTAACATGATTATAACAATTTTTCAAGCAATTCGAGGAAAGAACAACAAAATTAGAAACGAACCAATCAAAATACGATGATGCTCTTTTGGAATCGGTATCTCTCGAGTGGCTTGAGTTTGCAGTTCTCGAACCAATCTGGAACGGGCCTCCTCAACCTTGGCACGTTTACCCGTTATGAGGACAGTTAACGAATGATCCTTTTGCTCGCACAATTCGATGGTTGTGTCGGTGGCTTTAGCGATATCGTTGCATCGTTGTTGTTCTTCGTTTGTGTTTCCGAAACTTTTCGTATTCGTTCTTGACGCTCGTTCATCGCCGAGTAGTTTGAACACTTGCGTAACAACTTGACTTCGAACAGCCGGTGGCTTATTCCAAACACCGCCCGTCGCTTTGCTGCTAATCGGATGCGCTGGTGCTTCAGGAAGTTCCGGAAAATCAGTGCTGTAATTGAGCACGTTGATTTCAGGCTGTTGTTGTTGTTGTTGTTGTTGTTGCATGATTCCACTTGATCCAGGAGCCGAGCTGATTGTACCGTTTTGTGCCATTGCATGATGACGTTCTGCACCTGGTGCTAGATTCAACGATCCTAAAAATTAGCTTGAAATCAAAAAGCTATTATTCGCCAACGTCCATTGTTCACATTTCACTCAACAAAAAGTCATTCCTTTCAAACCACTTCGTCCCAAAAATTAATGCTGAAATAAGTGACCTTCTGAAGCCATGTCTGGTTGTCCAATAGGATGATGATCTGTTTCGAACGTCGTACCGTTTTCCATTTCGTTTTCCGGCTCGTTGGGGGAGTTGATTGGCTAGCGCGAATCCTCGGGGCTAGGTCAGGCTCTCCTTTTTCTACCTTTAAAAGTGAGCCTCATCACACTGATCAGAAAACGAGGCACAACAATTCGAATGGTGTATCGTTTCTTTTCTGTGCTCAAAACATTTCAGTCTCCAGTGAAATGACTCAATGTTGATTGATTTTATAAGAACAGAACATATGCTCAATAAAGTACCAGCAAATTGATCTGATGATGAGCAAAAAACTATTCATTTGCACTTTCCCAACAACAAATCGCTTGATACCTAATAACAATATGACACTTCGCTAATAGCAAGAAGCTTAATCCTCTTACAAAATGTGAACAAATCAAAGCACCCCATCGTCCCTGTACCAGAATATTAAACAAATCTGTGTGTATTTCAAGTGAATGAAAATATTAATGAGATTATGAAAAGACCACTACAATCCGAAACAATGAACTAATTTACTAACTGTATTAAATCCGGGCCTTCGAGCTGCTCTATGGAGAAAGGCAACTCTACTTGTAGAACGTAGGGGTGTAGATATTACCTGAAAAAAAAAACAGCCAAACTAGTCCCGATCAGAAGATATAAAGGAAATTTATTCTTATTATGGGAACGTGAACGATTTACCAACAAAAGAAATTTGCAGAGAAATATCCAAGCGCGCAACAAATTTTGATAGACTGAGGGAGAGTTTGAAATATAATCTCAAATGGGTTACTTTATTTAGCATCTGAACTGAACGAATGCAATCTGCTCAAAGAATAATGAAAATCACGTCGTTCAAAGAAAAACACCCAGCCAAACCTCCTTCTAACAGCCCTCAAAAATTTACATTAATCATTAGTGAATCACTGTGATTTTCCTACTGATTCTCGAATTCACAAAACGAATGTGGATGAATCATAAAATAATGAGATCAATTTTTCTTTTTTCAACAATCAATAGACTGAATAGGTTTACAAAAAGTCTATTACCTTTTCAAAAGCAACATAAAAACAACAACTCTCAATACACATGGTTATGCTAAAAGGATGCAACCGCATCAGTCAAGTTCGAGTACTTATAAGCAATCAGCAATGAAACACTCTCAAGTTGTTAGTAAATCTATCTATCTATCTACCTCAACATCATGCCATCACCATTTTGTATATGAAATGTGGCAGTTGGGTGGTTGATGCTTGACTGTCGCACTGGCCAACATGGAAGTGCGAACCGCTCAGAGAACGAACATTCCACGCAACCTTCGTTCCAAAACAGAGTGCTTACAAATCAACTACTATTATAACTGCTTATCAGTGATCACAGTGCAACGTAATCATATGAAATCAGCAATCGAGAATTCCACTTCCGAATAAAACAATTATATCCACTGATCTGAAGGGAATAAATGCACATACGATTATAAGCAACTCATCAGCGGCTGTTGAAAAAGTCAAGCCGAAATTCCCTGAGTAATGTATGGAAAACGACCGAACCTCAATTTTTAAATTTGCCTTTAAATCTTTCTCAAATGATTGATTCATTTTTGGAAAAGAGTAGTCGGAAATTGGAAATAACAAAGAAAAAATTATCCGTCACTTCGTTAACTAACGCCAAAAAAATACGCAGAGTTTGCAACAGTGTTTACCCAAAATTGAACGATTCTCATTTTGATGATTTATGACACATTTTATGATTCAGTTCGTAACATTCTCATTTATAAGCAAAATGACTTAAATCGTTTTGTGCCGCCTGCCTACATCAATAGTAGCAGTAAAAGAAGCAAACAAAATAACTTAGAAATATAATTATTACGCATGCATAAACACGAAGTTTTCACTTGAGAACAATCTAAAAACATTGAATGTTGTTCACATTAAACTACAATAAGAACTCAATTAACAATAAACATATCTTTCATCTTATCATTTCATCTTCTCTTCCATGCAGCCATCCGTTAAGTAAACCTCATTCTGTTTTTCTTTCTTCGTTGCGTAAATGTACCACCATCCAACCACACAGTTTTGTGCATAATCCTATATATTCATTTCTTGAACTATTAAAAGTATATTTGCACACATAGCAGTGTACACCATATTTATTTACACATCAAACATATTTATCAATTTCAACAAAAAGTAACTTTTCAGTCTATTCAAGTGAACTCGAGAATTCACTTTGAGATTTTCAATTGGCCTTTAAAAATGCATTTCCCAACGCGTAAAAAATTATGTTTCAAAAAGTGACACTATCACTCATACAAAAGTAAGAGAGTGTGGAGGTTTTGTTTCGTTGCAGGTGCTGCTTCAGCCAATTTATGCAATGTTGACATTTTACAATTGGTAACTTCATTATTTATGTACACATTTTGATCTGACCTTGACCCTCCAAATTCCGTGCAAGTATCAATGATAAGCCTAAAAATTAGTAATTCAATGCTTCATCATCCTTCATCTAACTGAATGCTATTCATTTTGTTGCGAGCTTAATTTCAGAATTTTCATTCGACTAAATTTACATTTTCTTTCCATCATACTCCTACGTTCATCTTATTCCATTCATTTCTGTAATTGTTCATTAACGCTCATCATTTTAACATTTTATCAAGGCACTTATTCCACCTAGTTCGATGCGACTGTCAGTTGTAATTATTACTTTATTCAAGCTTTCTCGATCAAAACAAACGATTTTGTTGGAAAGGATCAGTTGATAATGAAATGTACGCGATTGTGCTGGATTATTGAGAATTGCTTGGTATTGATGGTGGCCAATAGATGCTCAATTTTTATTGTGCTATCTATCTCTCTACGGATTGATTTTTTGAGGGAACGTTGGCAAGCAACTGATTTTAAAGGCGCATACATTAGACTGGAGCGTTAGATGAGGAAAATAATAGCAAAATAGAAATTCTTATGAAATGTTACATTTTGAAGTTTGCGCTTCAGAAGCATATAGTGATAATTGACAATCATGAACAATTTTTTTGGAAGAACACTTGATCAATTAACGCATGAACGTTTCATGCGGTACGATTAAGTCAAGCACTGTGGTTAGATATTCAACACCGAATGGTAGATGTAATTGTTCATCACATTTTGATGAATCACATTTGTCCTGTTCGGTGCTCGTCCACCATTCTCTAAACCACGAATTGAAACGTTTGATTTGTGTGAAAAATGTTTGTTGCAATGTTTCTAGCACTACGTTACTGTGACATGAGGACAGTACAGAATTGATGAAGATTTTTCCGGTTGTTGTTAAGGGCGCATAGATTCCGGAGTCAACAACCTGCAAGTGATTTGTTTCGTTCCTCTTCTCACAACAATCAGTCTGACTATATTGATCAATCTTTCGCAATTGAATGATTCCAGGAACTGAATTCAAATTTAATCGAGAAGAAAGTTGGAAAGAAAACTTATCCATACACGAGTGACGTTGATAACTTTGAGTTGTTTCATGGAGTTATTGTTGTTGACAGTATTATAAATGTTACTGTTCTCATTGTTGTCATCACTAGTATGGATAGCATGTACGCAGTGTCCTTCGAGGACATCTTTCGAATGGATTAAACGTAATTGTTCGTTTATACCACAGTTCGAAACGTATATTAGATGAAAATTTGTTAATTTTATCTGCCGATTGTCTTCCTGAATTTGGCTGCTTTGCGGAACAATCAATTAAAGAATTATTTCAAAAATTGCAAACAATTATGAGAGATTGATACTTTTTGTGAATTCATTCAACAACATACCATTGTCAATAAATTGAATTCAGCTATTTCGTCGTCGAGTCGGTGCAAAAACATTATCACTGGTGAGTAGCTTATCTGAAAAAAAGAAGCATTGAGGAGAATCAATGGAAAAGCTTGAAATCCGTCAGAGGCTCGACAAAGGTAATCAGACAAACAATACTAACTGAGAATCTCTTACGAATGAATTTTTTACTATGTTATTGTTATCAACAACGTTTTGTTCCAAAGTAAAGAATTCCTGAAAATTTATGCAGAAGATTCGTAAAATTAGGAATTGGAAATGAATGTTGCATAAAATTGAAAGATAATGGCCACTTATGGAGCAGTAAGCTGTTACCGATGAGCCATCAATTGAAAGTACATTATCGCCAATTCGCAATGCACGAATTGATTTTATGCCTTCTGGAGTTTCAACCGTCATATCACCACTGAAACATTGCAGCGCCCCGAAAACATTGTTCAGATTTGCCTTCAAAAATTTCGCTCATTCATTGTATGCAAACAATAATAACGATTATCAACGAAGCAGTGATAACGTTGAAATGATTTGAAATTGTCAGACAAGAAACGAGACAAAAGCTACTTCAATTATCATATTTGAAGTTACTGCAGATGAAGGTCATACCGTTGAATCGTAAGCATCATATACGGGAGCAGCAAGGAAGTTTGGTGATGCACGTTGAACATTGGCATAGGGCACATCTAGTGGGATGGCATTCCGAGAGATGGTCGTGCTGGTCACTTGCGATGGTGAATAATAATTGACGAGTGGAAATGATTGACTGGCCAATTGGACGTAACTGGGAGCAGCAGCAGCAGTAGCCGGTATCTAGCAAAATTTCATGCAGAATGATCGGACATTGGAACTATGAATGCTGAAAATTTTGTTGATGGAGATTGGAAGAGCAACTCACATATGCTGGCTGTTGATACGGCTGCTGCTCTATCATTCCTGGAAGTGAATTGAGATTGTTCCACTCACTTTTACCATTATCCATCATGCGCACGTAGTCAAAGTCCTCCTCACCAGCCTAAAAAGTTCAATCGCAAACAGATTCGTTGGTTTAGTCGTCATCGACATAAAGAAGCAGTCAAAACCTTTAAATCAAGCGATGATTCATCGTATGGAGTGTATTCACGTGGGCCAAACATAAGATATGGAGAGGACGTCTGAACAAAACTTGCGGTTGGCCAAGAATATTGTTTAGTCTTTCCATAGCTGCAAATGGATTGATTACTTCCAAACTGATAATGATGGCAATAAAAACTTAACTGAATTCCTCGTATCTAGGAGGACACGATTGGGCGTTCTGGTGAAACTTTTCAGAGTTCATTGAATCAACACATATTTTGAATGCTATTCCACTGATTGTGAATCAAAAATCGTATTGCTTGCTGATGGTCACGAATGAAATCCGTAATAAGTTAGCTGTGTCTGTATCGAGAAGAAACGAAGGAAGGCAATGAATGAAGTAACATTGCTTACAGTTTCATATACATTTGTACAAAGATCTCTACAACTGAATGTGATCTGCTTGAATTGCGGAACATACCGAAACTTTTTACCAATTGCTTTACGTCTTATAGTTGCTTTCTGAGGCATCTCGTGATAAGTTGTTGCATACGAAACCTTTGGATTCATTGATGAAATAACACCGTAGTCATAACGTGATGATGATAACAATTGTGATGATGGTTCGGTGTTAACAATTCGATCATTTCCGTGGCGTCTACGTGAAGGATGGCGATATCTTACGTCGTTCGATGAATAATCAACCACTCGTCGTTTCCTAACATAAAAATCGAGCAATATTTCTGCTAGAATAGGAAATCAAACTATATTTTGAAGGCAACAAAATTCGTTGAATGCGCTTAGATTAGCTTCTTTAATACCCAAGAAATGAGGGATGCGATATGGAACGTTGCTTTAGATCAATTATGTTGTTAGCAATTGCACGTCGTGGACGCGCACGAAGTCCTGGCAACTTTTGATGAGTCTCAGTTAACGATAGCTGCTTGTAGCAATCCGCCATTCGCTTTCCATGTTTCAATTCTACATCACCTGAAAACAAAAACACTTTAGTGATGATATCTGCATGGATCAGTCAACGAACTTCGATTCGATATTGTGTTCTGGATCCATAAAAATTTCCTTTTGCATTGTTTTTCTCGATCTTTCCTCACTATTATCAGTTTCCTCATTGATTTCAAAAATTCTGCTTTCTACTGCTGATATTTATGTGGCTGCCACAAGGCCGAATAGTAGATCTCCCCTCTTGAATGACACAGAGAGACGCTTGCATTTTTAATCGAGAAAAAAAAAACAGTTCTGTCTTGGACATTATTTCAGTTAACTCACCCGATTGGTAGTTGTTATTTGTTTCAGTGAGTTTAAATAGATTTCGAAAATCGTTGAATGATGTTGTGCACGGTTGATTCTCGCTTTGATATCGTTGTGAGCGCAAAAAATACGTCTGCTGAGCAGTGCAAACGACTTGATCAACACTCAAAATGAAGAAAACAACAAGCGATTGTTGTTGAATGAATGATAGCATAATCCACATCAAACTATAATCGTCTTGTCATCCAGCAAAAGCGATTGCCTGTTAAAAGCGTATTGAAAACTGTGGTAAACGAAAACAAATTCAAACCACTACACTACCCTTCCTTGGTAGCACTCAAAGGAATCGTCAACTTTCGCAAACTGCTTGTCTCTGAGATAGATTTTCGATTAAAAGTAGTCATACGAGAATGTTGTTGAGGATGCAAGGTTTTACATGCACTGATTGAGTGCATATGAAATGATGATGTGTCGAATCAATTTCATTACGTGACAAATGCATCAAGAAAAAAAGAACACAAGGCGATAAAGTTCTTTTGAGCTTTTCCAAACATTATTCCTTCGTGTGAATAGATGAATATGTATAATAAACGGACAAACGGTTAGATACAGACAGGTGAATATTTTGAGCATTTGGATTCTCTAGATAAGGGGTGCCCACAGCAAGTGATTACCCATTTTCAGGTAATTTGGTGGTGTCAGGGGAGCAACGGAGGGGATGAGGAAATCAGTATTTCTTGCCGTGTTGTTTACTGTGATGGGACGCCATTGTGATGGTTAAAATTTTAGAAAACCATCACATTGGCGTTCGTCTCAATTCACATCTCTAATTCTGTTTTGCTCGAAATCGGAGACAACCATAAAAGCCGCAGATGTCCTAGTGGGATGATGGGGGGAGTAATGTTGCGCGGTGGATAGATTGTAATGACGCTTTGCTAGACCATCGAAGGGGTTAAGGAATACCCGAACGCGGGGAGCCCAGCTCTAGATGATGCGCAATCGGGATTTTAGATATTGTGAATGAGCAAATACTTCAGAGGGGAGGAAGGTGAAGAGAAAGGGATGGCTACTGCCGAGCTGGCTACTGATGCTTCAACTTGTCGAAATATCCAAATGGAATGAATACTGGCACACATTCGCAAATATATGCCAAACGATGTGGTAATGCAAATGGCATCATCGCTGGTTTAATCGTTTGATGAGACAATTCTTTGATGAACCCGTTTAACTTGTTGGATTAAGAGCGAGCCACCCATCGCCGAAATGTACTCGAGAAAATCCGCTGTTCTTTTCAGTTTTCGTCATACTGTTCGTTTCTTTTGCATGCATCCATCCAGTTATTTTTCAAATAGACTGTCTACAGCAGTGGTTTTCAGGTTCGAGTACTTCATTACACCTTTTGATGATCTGGCAGGCCGCTGTTACCCCCTCTCTCCCTGATACGATGATCTCTTCTGTTATACCGAAGAATTCAATCAATTCTTACTGTTCATGAGAGACGGTGTCTGCCAATATATTCAAGAACTTACGAAATAATTGTGACTACTTCAAACTGACTTTTGCTCAGACCTGGGCGAGCTAGAAATACATAGAAAATAGGATAAAGATAAGTGTTTCCATCAACGAGCCGCGTTTAGATATCCCAGTGAAAAATACCTCATCATAATGGTGTTCTATTATAACTAACGACTACATGAAATATTAAACTCCCGACACCTCCAAATTACCCAAAACTGGTAATTTCACTCTCTATGAGAACCGCTGTCGTAGACCGTGGTGTTGCTCATAACGCCATTATTGTATGAAAAGCTATTGTCTATGACACGCTCACTTCAAACTAACTGATTTAGATGAATTCTCATTCTTTTCAGACGTGTTGTATTCACTCTCATAGCTATTACATGCGAATATCGTTCTCTTGATGAGTTTTTCTCATTCACTTCGTATCACTTCACTTCACAGCTCGAATCAATTTATTATTCTGTAGCATATACTATTTACTGGATACGTTGACGTGTGTTGACAGTCGAAATCAACAATGCAGCAATTGAATTGAATTGCCCAACAACTTTCGACAGTCAAATTATCAATTATAGAGTGTATTTGATGGAATGAGAATTTGACTTTAATTGTTGAGTGAAATGAATGAGAAATTAGCAAAAGAGAACACATTTGGTGATAAAAGTGATGAGAGCGATTGCAACAGCAAGGAAAAGAATGAAAACCCTGTTAAAATTTACAAACTCGAGTTTAAAAACACTATCACAATGGCGTTCTATCATCAGATAACAACTGCACAATACTAATTTCCCGACCCTCCTCGATATCTACAAATTACCCAAAATGGGTCGTTTCATCCCCTATGAGAACCACTGGTCTACAACAACAACCATATCATTATTGTATCGAGTAGCGGACAATCGAAGTATTTTGTACGATAGATAGGAAGACATAAATAAGACAAATCATCATGGATTATGAAAGCACGAGTGGTTATGGCAGAAATGAGGGTAATCAATTCGTATTTTAAGGATGTGTGCAGTGGTTGAGTAAAATAATCAACTTCGTAAAAGCAACCAGAGATATTCATCCATGCACGTTCGGATTAATCGCATTTTTATCAAGTTGAATTGTACGATAATTACTGACGATGAGCGAACAATAACCTACTTGAAGGATACTGCTGAAGGAGCAGTGAACGACTGATCTCATCGCAATTATCGTAACGGATGTGAGCGAGCTGGCGATTATCGAATAGACATCACCCTCGTACGGCATTCTCAGCAGGAAATGGCCTTGTTTTTGACAAGACCAGAGATTGTCGTTATTCTTTTCAATATTTCAATATGTACCACTATTTGAATACATTCTGAAAACTTTTGACGACCCTTTTGAGTTGTACTGATACAACAATCGTATCGTATTTGTGTTATTATCATAACTAACATAAATGGAAGTGAATTTTATTTCGAGTTTGAACACATCAACTTGAGAAATAAATACTGAATGATAAACAAAAATAAACAAATGAAACAAACAAAAAAATAAACAAACAAAGTTCTGAAGTATACAAGCATTCAATAAATGAAGAAATCATCATAGTTCATTTCTAAACGAAACAACACTCTATCGTGTGATCACACCGTGAATATCATCAAAATTAACCGACCAACGATATCTTTCTGTTATAAATGCAACTTTTGAAATGTTCGCGATATGAGAATGTTGTGATCAATCGATTAAAATCCATGATATATTGACGACAAACGAAAAAGCAATTACTGCCCGTAATGAGGGAATACCAGCACTCAAATACGATCACTGTGAATTGCCCCTGAATCTGAACATTAAAAGTCAAAATGATCCAACCTTATAATTCATAAAAGTTTCTCAAATACGATCATATGCAACTGTAAATAGTGTCTTCCTGATATAGATGATAACCACAAAGAAAAACCCTTTCTTCTTTGCTTGTATCAAAATGATAATCGTTTAAACCATTGCTACTCGGCGAGCAGCAATGGTTTAAACGATTAGCAATTCGAAATCACCAGTCGGTTGCTGCCCGTCACTATGCATTTAATAATCCGCAATTTCATTAAACAAAAACGCACAATAACACATAAGTAATCGTTAAAAAAAGAATTCATTTCAAACTACACAAGATGAACACTTCACAATATTGATGGAATCAATTAAATGCGTTGAGGATAACGTACGTACAACAATAAAATATTATACTTGAACAAGAATTGATATGATAAAGAATGAACAAAATCAAATAACTTTACACGTTTTCATTGAATGATACAATTTAGAGCAAGCCACGGATAACAACAGCTGATCGCATCATACTAATTTCAGTGCTTCACCACAAACAATAGTTGTTGCTGTTTAAGCAAATAAACAAAATCGCCACCAATTACGTTGCACATAAGTATACATATTTTAGGGAATAAAACTGCAAAATGAAATTTCTGGCGAGGTATCTACTACAAAGAAACTATCGTATTCCACATTAACACTGCAACAATAACGATAATAATTCCACATTACTGTACACAAAATGATAACAATTCTTATTGTTATCATAATCATCAATAACAGCGACGATATAATATTCATTTTTTTAATACTTAGGCAGTTAATGATACACACCAAACGTTATATTTTGCACAATGAGTTTGAGTAAATCAAAAATCGAGAACTTAAAGGGATGAACAGATTTAAGGAGGAAGGGTTATTTGCAATGATACAAAAACTTTTAAACAAAAATTATCAATTAGGTAGTTGTACAATATGAAAATACCACCAAGAAATGACTAAGAGCACCACTTCTTCAGGACACTCAGCTCTCGGTTCAGATTCAAGTATCAGATTCAGTTGCAGCCTCGGATTGAAGTTGCTGTCGCTTATTCCATCGTTTGAATCGATTCCAGCGAAGTGCTGCCCTTGAAATGAACAAATCAGAGGTGTTTGTATCACAAACGATTACACAATTCAAAAAACCATTATCGAACTTTATGTCACACTAATTCGTCCTTCTTCTTTTCTTAAACTTTTTTGAAACATTAAACCAATGATGAAGATAATCGATCAAGCAATCTAAACATCATATCATTCAATGCAGTTGTTCCTTCTCAACCGCTGCTCCTCACCACATTCAGCAACAATTAAATATTGGTCAACAACTCGATTTACGAACAACCTTTTCGCTCGTTGACATTTCAACATGAACTATTACTTGTCTCAGGCGATCTTCTTATCGTCCCAAGGTAATGATTTATATGGAATTTTGAATAATCGCAACAACTCCATGAAATTTCCATACTCCGATTATTAGCACAGCACAGTCATTGACGATAGCTTACCGGGTGAGTGAACAAAAATCACAAATGTTTTCGAAATGCACAAAGAGGGTTTAAACGAAAACGTACTTGCGTTGTGATGACTTATACTTGTCACCTCGTCGTTTACGTCTACGTGTATGATGATCAGAGTCGATTTTCTGACCAGCTGCAATCCAAAAAAACAATAACAACAAAATATCAGCTAACAACATCAAAGGTCTTCTCTTATATGAACAATTTTAAAAGACAAACGATTTGAATGAATCAATAAACGAACGTTTCAACACTTTCACTCCCCGAGCTTTCAAATCTTTCAACTGTTCGATTCGCTTCGATGACGATTCCAGCTCTACAAAAATAAACTCCAGTTAATATTTCATTAATTTGGCACACCAGAAACAAAAGTAAATCAAATCAAACGAATGGAGTTTTATTCTTCCCATTTCCCGTTTCAGTTAAATTGCAGCAGCATTCTTCATCCTTCTTTCACAAGCAATCAATAAGAAAATCCATCTATCCATTCAAAGTGGAACAACATGAAAATTAACCGATCGAACAAAGATAATAGTGTATACTCAAAGGAAACAATCAATCTCACTTCTAATAACGTCGTTCAGTTGTTTAAATTCTTCCTTATTAACCACTTGACGGACTTTATTGATTAAGACATTCTTCTGTTCATCACGATAATGATGTTGATTCGCTGAAGACTCCTCATTTCGAGCTGTGGGTGTTCTCTTCATTTGGGACGATGCAAGCCGAACTTGAGCCGAACACGAAGAAATGCCGCCTGGTGTAGTCGATGGATTTTTGCGAGTCGCAGTGGCGTTGTTCTGGAGATATTCAATTGGATTCGACTACGACTATTCATTCACCATTTATACATGTTGAACACTATGAACTCGCCTTGCAAGTTTTTATGTTACAATTTTCACCTCAGCATACTTGATTGATATCATTAACATACAACTGTCATGCAGCGTCATCAGCTACTGCTGTTGCATAAACAAACAACCCCATCCACTTCTCCGGCAATAGTTTTGAACTAATGAATGAAAACAAGGAGCAAAAAGAATGAATGCAAAACGATAACCGCTACAACAACCTTAATCTTATCGAAGAATTCGTTGATTAGATCAAATTCTCGGAGCATATTCTTGCGTTGACGTCTTTGCATCATTTGCCGATTGTAGTAAAGCACCTTGCTGATTTTCACATCTTAACAGCAATCAATCAATCAAACAATTGATTCATTTTACTTAGAACCGAGCTGATCAACGAAAAATTGGATGACTGATTGCTACTGCATTGTCTACACTTCAGAAATCAATTTTTTCGCCTTAATGAGAAGAGAAGACAACAATAAAGATGATGATAATGAACATCTACAATAAAGCAATTACCATCAGCAAATTGCTCATTTTCGTCCTCTTCAGCCGTTGGACTAAGCTGAAGTCGACTTATGAGTCGCTCAAATTCATTGTTGTATTCCTGAAGAAAAAAAAAAACAGAATAGTAGAGTCCCACGAGGACAGTTAGATTATCATCATTATTATGATGCAAACAGAAATGCAATTTCTGTTTCAATTATGATGCGCTGAAGAAATATTACTGTAATTGGTAGGAACCAATTTACATCAAATTCATCTCAATCAGTACTACTGACTGCAAAATGTGCTCTTGTTACTGTTTACATAGATCAACAACAACAAATCTAATACTTTTCCATAATAATTCAAACGAATGAGATCTGAAGTAATCAAAACAGAACGAACATATTCGAAGTCGTCTCGTTTCGGCATATATGCTAACAACTGCAAATCATCTTCGCGCAATCTTGACATTTTTTGTGCTCGTGACGATTGTTGTTGCATTTCAGCCGCATGCAACATACGTAAATATGCTTCGGTATATGTGGCTAATAGACGTTCTTGATCACGTTCACTGATTCGAATACTCTTAGCACATACAGATCCATTCATTGCAGATACTTTATTGCTAATCGACGATGACGTTGTTGGCGTGGTTGCTATTGTTAGTGTTGACGATGAACTTGTTCCATTCAAATGTTTAATTTGTTGATGCTGCTGCTGCAAGAAAATACTCTTTTTTCTTCATCATTAAACGATCGCATACCACCAACAAAGCATCACTGATTTGCTCATCATTTTAGTTTGGCACTCAAAATATCAACGACGGCACCAATGACATAACAATAATAACACAACTTTGGCTATCATTACACAATTAAGTTCATTAGGTATTGAATTTTGTCAAAAGCAACTGATGCTCTGCTACATACCGACCTTAAACATTTCACGAAATTAATGCTGCAAACTGAAGCCAATTAAGCTTTTTACCTTCGAACCGCGATGTTCCTTCTTCGATAAAGATGATGACGATACTCTTCTTTTTGTACGACTCGGGCCAGGTAATGATACACGCCGTTTTGTAGTTTCATTTCGCGGTGTTGAATGATCTGTTTCATCTTAACAATTCTCTAATTCAACTTTGATTGCCACTCTGAACGATAGCGACCAAAATTTTCAGTTGCTTCAAGATAATCTACATAATTTGATGGTTATGGTTCAAGATAATGCCAAATGAAATTAGAGGTTTACCCAACTTGCATGCAAAGAAAAAAGATCTATTGAAAGAAAGAAATAACAGCATTAAAAGAACCCATCAAAAAGACAACAAACCACCAGAACTTTGCAGACCGATATTTGAGAGAGGACGTGAAGTTGAAGAAGTTGCATAGGAAGTATCTGCAGCAGATGACGGGTGTTGTGATGAAAAACAACGTCGGGTACGCGCATGCTTGTTACCGCCATTGCTTATTGCCGAACAGTTGAGCTGTTGATTTTGACTAGCAGCGCTCTCTGAATGATGGTTAGCCATACCCAATTCACTGCTTTCATCGGAACTTGCATCCACCTAAAGGAACATTAATCACACCATTCGTTTAGTTTATACATATAACATTGATCGATTAACAACGAATCGTTGAGAAGTGTAACTTTAGCATGTCAACAAAGCATTTAAATGAAGTGAGTTATAATTAAAAGTTACACATTACAAAAAAACCAAACGAAGAATTTGTTCAAAACTAAACGAGTTCAGACCATCCCAACCTTACACTAAAATACATCATAAACTAACAGTATCATGAATCTTCTCTCAAAAAATGAACGAATACAAACCGAATGAATGGTAATGCGTATTGGTGAGAGTGGAGGTGTAGGTGGATATGGAGTGATAGACGGCTTAGGCATGATGACTGCATCGATGAAGTGATGACTGCTCGAGTTGATTGGCGTTGTATCGATAAAGAGCGCTCGAGAACATGATGATGATGTGGATGATGAATTCAACAGATTAAGTGAACTTTGCAACTTCCTCTCTTTATACCTCTTCACTTTATCACTTATTGTGTCCATCCAATTTGGTTCATCCAAATCGATCAACACATTATTTTCACTCACAAATTCTCTTATATCTGAAAATCACATCTTTTGTTCCTGCTTAATGGTTTTTAAAAACAATCTATTAATGAGTGAATACTCCATTTCAAGTGAGCTCACGCGAACCTCTACTCTATTCTTCCAACACTGGATGTCGTCTTCAAAAGAAGTAGTTTCGCTAAATAAAAAGCATTCACTGAATGAAAAAAGCTGACACTGCCATTTCGATGAGTTGTAGGTGGCTGCACCAAGTTGATTAGTGGTATCATCACCAACAAAGATAGGATCTCGTTCTCGACCAAAACATTCATCAACGGTCATATCGTCAATAAATGGCCTTAAATTCGATTAATTGATCAAGCACATCAATTATTTGCAGCAACAAAAAGAAAGAAAAGGAAATGAGTTCGTATGAGACCTTGAAACAATGGTTGACGCGTATTGACCAACTGCACCACGAACGAAATAACGATCAAAATGATTTTTCACTTCTTCGGCTGTTCGATTTGTTTTCATACACTTCGCAATTTCGTCCCTATAAATCCCTCAACAACCATATATATGATTTCGTTTATCCAGGATGGCCTTCTTCGTTCAATTTTCGAATGAGCATAGCTTAGCGCGAATTAACAAAATGCATTCCGAATTATTAAATCTCAAGCAATGCATAAGTAACGATGACAATGTATTGAGTAAATACCAATTTCCTAGACGGTATTTATGAGCTGTATGAATTAGTTTCATATCTTGCTTCCAACCCCATGGTCGTTCAATTCCAGCCTTTGCATTGAACACCGGTGGTCCACACGGGTCCTCCACTTGATAATTATGGCCACGCTTGTGCGCACCACATTCTGCACCCATCAGAAAACACTGTAAATAAGATAACAAATAGAAAGAAGGAAGGGGAAAACTGCCAAATAAGTTCATTTATACGTTAGATCAATGATGTTCCTAATGATAAGTAACTACAAATTAACTCTAATGGAATCTGGCGAGCAAATTCCAAAAATGAAACAAAACAAAATAATCTTTCATGCCGAATGCAATCAAACTTGTCTACAAAGATGTATTCTTACCGAAGCACATAAGTTCACTTCGTTATCTCGACTACTGCATTCAGTGCATCGTACATACGGCTGCTCATTTTGTCCAACCGTAATTTCACAAATAATACACCGAGAAAGTTGCAACAATTCCTCGTCCATGATCACTGTAAATGTTAAATTGAAACAAGGTGAAGTGCACACTGTGGCAGTTAATCAACACGATCACCACTCACTAGTGCACCATGCTGAAATCCGAGTCGTTCAGCACTGCGTTCAACTTTCCCGTTCAACATTTCTGAAAAAAGCCATCTCTTGCACGCTACTAGCTTTCCTCAACTCAGTGGATAATGTCTTGGTGTGTGTAAACACTTCGCCATATGCGCGTGTCGCTTGAAAAAAGGCGGAGTCATGACTGCGTCGCATGGAAATGACGAACAACGGGCACTCATTAGAGCAAGGGTTCTCATGGGAGAGGGGAAAACTTCCTATTGGGGATTGTTTGGGGTATCAGGGGGGTAATGAGGGGAGGGGTCGGGAAATCAGTATCTCGTGCGGTTGTTATATTATGATGGAACACCATTGTGTTGGTGTTTTTTCACTTGGGAACGTTTACACGGTTCGCTCATGGCAACACTCTAGATTCGGTAAGCCATCGATAACGGAATGTTTAATACTGTGGTGCAGGAATCTGATTATTGTCGTATCAACCAGTGTAAACTGCATATTTGGTGAGGAAGCCAAAATTAGCTACTTGATGCAACATCCTTGATTTATATTCCCTCAAAGTTAGGTGGCGATGCAAACACTGAAAATATTGCTCTAATCATTTGGAATTGTCGGAATTAAGTGGAAGTTCTTCAACAACGACAATAGCGATGAGTGAGGGAGCACAACGTGAAGCCAAAATTTCGTACTACGAAAGCTGATCTTGACCAAACGATCATGAGAATACGCCTGCAGGGGTCCGTACAGTTGCCCATTATCAGTTTCACTCAAGGTCTCACGGATTCCTAAATTTTTAGCTCTTGAAAAATAACCCGATGCATTTTGATTTGAACAAGTTTTTGAGTAGAAAGTTTTTACAGAGTGAATCATTGGGATGAGTTCATATCCAACTCTAAATGAATTTACATGCGATTGCGGATCACATTCCACTTCATCCATCATGCTTACTGGCTTCTGATGCCATCTCCCACAGATGATCCAGTCATTCAGCATACTGCATCTGCATTGATCAATGTATACAAAGATGGTAACCCCCATAGCGTTAGACTAGTGTATATATTGATCCACAATGATCAGAAGTATATGAACGATGAGAGTACGGTAGACTCAAGGATGGCAACCGCTATAGCATTGAGAAAATAGCCATATCTCCTCAAGAAAGCAGAATTGCCTAACAAACTATACCTTTTTCTGAATCTAGAGATTCGGCTGAATCGAATGTTATACAGAAAGTCATATGTTGATGGGTAAATCTAAGAGTACGGTAACCTTGAAGATGGTAACCTCTATAGAGCTGTAGTAACGTATTGATATTGATGTATAATGATAGAAATGTATATGAATAAGCGCGATTGCGCTTGTTGTTAAGATAGCTCTATGAAAAAGCTTAGAATGGAAGCTTTTTTCATAAAACATGGATGTTGTTGGGTGATTTTATTCATTACAAGTAATATCAATGATTTTCTATAGCCATCTCAGATAACTGAGTGTCGGATTTTAATGCATTTTATCTGTATTAATCAATGTGCACGAGGAATTAGCAATTTCAGGATCACCGTTTTCAGGCTAACGGTACTCCCAAGTTTGCACGACAACATGTTTTTTTCTCTCATGCATCAGAAACTCCAGTTTCAGAAAAGTATGTATGTTGTGGGATGATTTTGCTTACTGTTGTCGATCATTCCGATGTATGCATGCAGGGATACTTTATATTATTCATTCAGCAGTTTTCTTAAAGTTGTCCTTAAGTATCTTATAGTTATGAAGCGATGAACCCATCAGAGCGATTCGAATACTTTGAAATTAAATATGTTGAATGTCTCAATTGTATCAGTCATCCTTTCACATGCGTTTCTTCTTGATTTAAGCTGATGATGATGCCAATGAATAGTATCTTACAAAAACAATCAGATATCATTACTTAGAATCGACCATATCCTCATGTTCTAGTTTCCAGCCAAAGTAAAAGTTCCAAATCAAGGTTACCTTTTAATGACTTCTCGCAAACTTTTCGTTGCATGACAGTACACTCAGTGTTCATAGCATTCAATAAATGATTTACAACCATACAACTTCAATACAAATGAAAATGAGAACATTCGTGAACATCTGAAAAAAAATCGTCATACCGTGAATCATATCACTCAGACGCTAATGACTCCCTAAAATGATCAAGAAAATTCTCGAATTTTAAGATTCCCATTCACATCACGAAGATCTGGAAAAAATATGAGGTCATGAAATGTCTGCACAACGGCAAAAACTTTTGCCACACGCCACACTCACAATCAGCTACGTCGAAAAATTATCTTTCAGTAATTTATCGATTTTGCTTACAATTTAAAAAATTGAAGTATAAAATATAATTTTGCTTGGGTTCACATTTCGTGATGCTTTAGTGACGACTTTGAACTGATCAACTAAAATCTTACAGCATTTTAATTGTGAGCAATGATGAAGGAAATTGCAAAAAACAGCAGCAAGTACCATATGAAGTTGAGTAAGTCTGCGTGCATTTGCGCTCACTGCCTTTAAAACGTTTAACAATGACAGATTATCAATACATAGTTAGGTAGATGCACTTTGGAGCTCGAAAATTGCTGAAACCGGATAAACCGGACAAATACTCGAAAGCTGCCGAAACCGGATAAAAGTTCATCCAAGCGTAAAAAACTATGCATTACATGAAATTACAAAATGTGATAAAGTACGGCCTGTGCCGCTGTAGAGACTGAACCTCCCATTGGCCAATACAAAACATGCAGCACTACCACTGAGCCATGGGTGCACGCATTTAATTATTTAAAATTTCTTCTACATAAAGTTGAGGTTGAAAAAATTTGATAAGCTTTCCCTTCTCCTTTTTCTCATTTTTATAAGCGTTAATAAACACGCTTAGTTCTCGTTAATGAATAAAACTTTTCTGAAAATTCCTCACCCATCCTAATGTCCACTTCACCAACCAATCTCCCCACTCAAAAATCCCCCATAATGCATTACCCCTGTCCTGCAATCCTCAGATTTCACCTCATCTAGGGCAAAATCTCACTCTTTCACTTGCCGGCTTGACTGTGTTCATATGAGTTCGTTTCCACCGGTTCACGATGGTTCAGTGGGGTACCATCAACGGGAAAGGATTCTTCACTGCTAACACCCTCCCCGGCAATATCAACAGAGTAGTTCATAAGTAGCAGTTTGAAATACACCCCGAGAAATCGACCGAATACAACGGCCATCTAGGCCGAATCGCCCTTAGGATCTACGCGATCTTCCGTTATCTCATAATCTCGCCTTTTGCTAGCGATTTCATTTGACCATATTTGGCGATATGTTATCGCATACGTAATGTCATTTGCATATTTCCCTCATTTTCATTTGACCATATTTGGCGATATGTTATCGCATACGTAATGTCATTTGCATATTTCCTTCAATCGATTAAATGATTTATTGAAGATTTTTATGCTGATTTTATTTGTTTCCTTAAATTATTTTGTGATTATGATTTGATTTCTTCGTGTTTATGATATTTTAGTTATTGTTTGAATCGTCTATTGAATCATTTCTCCCTAGCATGACTATTTCTCAATTGAAAGTTGATTGCTGTTAACTGCCATTTTTTTGAGATGCCAGATTTTGTGAGAATCTTAACATTATTAGTTACAACAATAATTACTACCATATAGACGTCATAATATAAGACATAACAGTAGTTGAGAGTTTGATTCTCACAAAAGTATAAATGATCACAAATACAATTTAATGCGAAAAGCAGGAGCTGAGTAATAAATAACATTACTCAGCTCGTGTTATAATTAGAAGTTCAGCAGCACTATTGTACAATAATTATAATGAAAAACATTGATGAATTATCATTCACAAACAAAATGAATTAAGAATGCCTTAATTTTTTTATTTGTTTTTTTATTTTTTGATTTTTTGTCTTTTTGTTTTTTTATTTCTATTTTTTTATTTTTTTAATTTTTCATCTTTTTGTTTTTTTATTTTTATTTTTTTTATTTTTTCAATTTTATTTTTTTTTGATTTTATTTTTTATTTTTTATCTTTCCGTTTTTTATTTTAATTTATTTATATTTTTTTGATTAATTTTTTAAATTTTATTTTTAATTTTTCTTTCCTTTAGGCATTCTTTCTAGAACATTTAATTTTCTTCATAAGGTTGCTCTCCATTCTGTAGACTGGTGCTTGAATGTGGTGGCGCTGAAGTCATTGTTGGGTTCAGGCTGCTACCACTGGATTGATGGGATAGGACATTGTACATTTTCGGGTGACTGTTCTGGGGTAACTGCTCCTGATCTGGGGAAATTGATTCAATATTGCGGAGTGGTTCATTTTGTGGAATATTGATTCCATCGTCGTATACGAACCAGTCATAGGTTATTGCTTTGTAGACATGGAGTTGTAACCCTGGTTGAGGAGCTGGCGTGCCATTTTGCCCAATGACTCCTCTCTAAATTCAGGGTTAGTATAAGAGCCGAGAGGTTACTCGTTGCATATATTATTGATAACATTTGTTTGAGAGGGCATTTTGAAGGAGTAGGGCATTTCGACGGGCATTGGTTTTCACTGAGCAAACAGTGAAGTAAGGGAATTTTTTTGGAACACTTTGTAGTAAGGGGAGTTTGAGGTAATGCGCTTCCTGGTTGCATGTTCACTCCTTTTTTGCGCATATTCCGTTGATGGAATCGGTAAGGTAATATTGAATTGTTGCTCAGTGGTAGCCGTGATCTTTTCTGTAGATTATTCGACTGTTGTTGAACTTCATTGATCCTCATTGCAGCATGTGTTGCGATGATATCATCGCAATTGAAAGTAGCCATAAGCAATCAAATTCTAGACATTACAATTCAAGAACAACAAGAAAAACGACTGTTGAACATTTTCAGACATTAATAGAAACAATATTTTGCGCA